TAACCAAAATCCACGTCACTCCCCTTCACCAAACACCACGTCACTCCCCCTCACCAAGTATCACGCCCTTATGATACGAAAATATCAACAAAGAGAAAAAGAGCGAAACCTAATTTCTGAATCAGCCAAGTGTCCCGGGGCGGCTCATGGTGATTCAGGATGTCCCGGGGTGGTTCAGGATGTCCCGGGGTGGGTCAGGATGTCCCGGGGTGGTTCAGGATGTCCCGGGGTGGTTCAAGATGTCCCGTGGTGGTTCAGGATGTCCCAGGGTGGTTCAGGATGTCCCGTGGTGGTTCAGGATGTCCCGGGGTGGTTCAGAGTTCTCAGGGGTGATTTCGAGGTACTCAGGAATGGTCTACACGTACTGTTCCCTGACTAGAAAGATACTGACTACTGTAGGTGTGTTAACTACTGTAGGTGTGTTAACTACTGTTGATGTGTTAACTACTGTAGGTGTAAAGTAGTGTAGTGGTCGTGTGGTTAGGTTAGGTTAGGTTAGGTTAGGTTAGGTAAGGCACTTCCAGTCCACCCAGCTATTAAAGTATATCTTCCTGTACAGCTGAGGAAGTGAAGATGGTCGAGAGGCGTGCCCGGCCATGCTGCCTCCTTGCTTACCGAAGGCTTAGTCTGCAGTGTACTGTATCCACATTGTCTCTAAGGTAGCGTCATGCGTATGGAACTCAACTTATACTACCTCATTTTCAAACACAATTAGACTTAAATTAGCGTCGTATGTAGAAATATTACAACAGAGTGCACATAGCTTAAGTCTCTGGTTATAGCACAAGCCACAAAACTTCGCTTCTCCTCCCTTCTAAAGCAATCAATAGAGTTCTAAACACTTTCACCAAAATCTTGACCACAAAATACGATGATGAAAACTTTGCCTGATGGAGGGGCTTTCACTCACCCAAAGTTTACATCCTAAAAAGATAAAATAAAGAAGAAAGTGTAAAAGTTGTTTATATGAGATCTTTTTTACCTAATATGAATGAAAGTATCTTGGAGGCGGCAGCTTAAAGTTGATTGTTTGAAGGTTGAATTAAGATGTGTAGTGAGAATTTAATGGTTTATTTCTTTATATTTTTACGTTCATTGCATTCTCTCTCTCTCTCTCTCTCTCTCTCTCTCTCTCTCTCTCTCTCTCTCTCTCTCTTTCTCTTATCTCTCTCTCTCTCTCTCTCTCTTTCTTTCTTCTCTCTCTCTTTCTTTCTTCTCTCTCTCTCTCCATGCGACCCACTTTTTTTTTTCAGAATTGTTTATGTTAAAGTTAAGTTAGGTTAGGTTAGGTTAGGTTAGGTACGGTTAGGTTAGGTTAGGTTAGGTAAGTATAAACTAGATTACTTTAGAAGATACATCAAATTAAATTAAACTAAATTAATTCAGGAAATATCCGGGCTTGACGACATCTCGGTTACCCAATAGCCAAAATAATAAGTCTCTTTTATAAACCCTATCGGAAATAATTAATTTATATACGTATAGATAATTGTTATAAGACGAAGCACTTGAATGACCAAACAAACTAACAACATTGATTTATTTCGTAATTTATTTTAGTTTTTTATACTATTTTCTAGGTTAAATAAATACAACGAACCCAAACCATTTTTTTTTGTATACACGTAAATAATATTCAGTTAACAAGCACGTATTAGGAAGGAATACTGGACGTGTTTTGAATGTGTGTGTCACGGGAGTAAACAATTCATTTATACAAAATACACAGAGAACTTTCAAGTCAATAAATGGTAAATTGAGTAAAAATGGTAAGAGAGAGAGAGAGAGAGAGATAGAGAGAGAGAGAGAGAGAGAGAGAGAGAGACAGTCAGTAAAACAGACAGACAGACAGACAGACAGACAGACAAAAAATAGTTCCGTCATCATACCATAATATACACTCTCATTAACAACAAAATTAACATACAATAATATTAATAGAAAATGATAAATTACTCACTCTCTCTTCAACCAACAAAATGCAGATTTATGCAAATTTCATGAATAATGCATGACACTATCTGCACACAATGAATCACTGAAGTTTGTCTATATATATATATATGTATCTGTATATATGTATAATGTATATGTAATGTTTATGCATGTATATGAATATAAGAGCGAACATTAGTCTTTTTTTTAGGAGGAATGTGATTAAAAATTTTAGTACCTCCTTAATAGGGCCGTTTTCTGTTTATCTTCCGATTTTTTTCCCAGGACGCCATAAGGCAATCATTAACCTACACATGCTCACTCGTGTTTTTTTTCAGTATATAATCAGTTTTTTTGTGTATGTGCATTTGTTTATTTATCTTAATAATACAGTTGTCGTATATATATACATAGTGAGTTTGTAATATTTTTTCCTTATGAGAATACAGGAGTGAGGACTACAGGTAGAGTCATGGTGAAATGTAGTGTCGCCTCTACCTGCTTCGCGACAGTCCGCCCTGGAGCTTCGGACTCGTGAACCCGAAGCAGTAGACAGTGTTGCATGAACCTGTCCATAAATACTTCGTAATTCAAAAATATGAGTCTCGGTGTTCGTGGAGTAGCAGTAAAGACGATAGTGGTTTTGACCGTAACCGTACAGTACTCTGAATTTGTAAGTACTATAAAGAATTCTCATATTTTCCAACAGGTAAATATATATATATACCGTAAAACCTGACAGCCTTCTACGGGGATTAGTGTGATCCATGGCTATACATCTCTGACCTGACTACCGACCGTTGCTGTGCTTTTTAAAGATTAGTAGGGTCATTACCTAATACCTGACCATTGTGGACCTGGTCTCACCCTCCTCTGTATATATACACCTTGTTTTGTACTTCTCTTTAGTCTGTACTCACCCCTGAAGATGTGAATTACACGAAAGCGCTTGGGAACTTCGTGTTTTCTTCTTTCCTTGTGGTTATCAGCATATACCTAGATCACGCGCACCTACAGTGATTTACTTGCACATATATATATATATATATATATATATATATATATATATATATATATATATATATATATATATATATATAGATTCACACACGAGCAACCAAAAACTTACCCCATTGGCCGCTGACCCTCGAGTGTGGGAGAAAGAGACGACTGACAGAGACAGCTGGAGCACATATAAAGAAAGGCCCTGGCAACACCCTGCGGGGAGAAAGAAGCAGCTTCCTACCCCCCCCTCTCCCGCCACCAGCTGGGAATATCTTCTGATCGTTGCCTGCTAAGACCTAGTTAAAGTCACACAGACACACACACACATACATCGTTCACTACCACAGATTAAGGACCTCTCCTTCTGGCACTGTCTACTGTAGCTGCCTGAGGGTCAACATGCCGACTCCCTTCCCACCTCCTTCCTCTCAGCTTCTCCCCCACCAGGATGCAAGTGCAAGAATTGATTACAAATCCCCACGACTGATAACGAAAGGGGCACTTTCAATTTGAAAAGGAATTGAAAAACAAAGCTAGTTGTCATCAAGGGTCGTGACCGGCATCTGAGGCTCATGTGTGAAAAGGGGAACTTGGGCCAATACCTATAGTCTCACAACATCACATGAAAACTCCTTCTAAACACCATGTGGCAGTTATCAGCCAGGGGGACAGAGCTGCTACATCATCCTCACCACTAGCCATCGTGGAATGGATCCCGTCCAAGAGCAGCTGTCCAATATCACAGCTATATTGTTTCCTCTTCTTTTTGTAATGAAAGCTTTTGTTACATGACCCATTCCCAAATGTCTTCCCATAAAATCTTTGTTCATTCTCTTCATTGTGTGTTTTGCGTCTAAGGCTGGTATTTCCCTTCAATAAACCGTTCGTTCTTCTTCTACTTCTTCTTCTCGTTCGCTCTATTATTATTATTATTATTATTATTTTTATTATTACATGTAAACATCACTGGAATATTTTACTCACTTATATACAACATTTTCATATACTTTACAAACACCACTACCAAGTTATTATTGTACCACCATACCGTCAATACCATTATACTATAAAGTCATCATAATTGCACCACCATACCACTAGCACCTCATCACCATCATTCCACTAATACCTAACCACATCACCACCCCACCATTATGCCACCATTACCACTCTACCACCATCAAACCGCCACACCAAGATCCAACTACAACTGTCACTACCACACAAACACCACACAACTATATCACCATCACCACTCTAATACACCACCATCACCATTTCACACTACCTCACCACACCACCACTACCACACTAAAAACCAACGAATACTACTACTCCTACCACCACACCATTACCACACCACCCCACCACACTACCACAGCCTCCATTACCCCACCACCCTCACCACACCTCCCTTACACCACCATCACCACACCACCATCACTAAGACCTCACAAAACCACATAAAACAATAGCCGAGGTATTAATCAGCAGCAGTTGGTGGGCGCGACGCATCTGGCCGGCGCGGTACAGCACGCTAACAGCAACTTAGATCATCTTAATGTGTGATAACTTCCGCGGTGTTTGTTGACCTAAACATGTGCTTAAGATTTACCCTAACCAGCTGACACTCCCTTGGTTATAAATCAGTGTGTGTGTGTGTGTGTGTGTGTGTGTGTCTCTGTGTGTGTGTGTGTGTCTGTGTGTGTGTGTGTGTGTGTGTGTAGGAATACTCAGGCATTGTAGCGCATCGACAATACATTCCATCAACCACTTCCTCTCCATCTCTCTCTCTGTCTCATATTCCCTCACACACACACACACACACACACACACACACACACACACACACACACACACACATGCATTTTTACTTTCTCCCACCTAATCTAACCTAACCTAACCTATCCTATATTGGTCTAACTTAACCGAGTCTAAGATAAGCAAACCTGTTTTACCTTAACCTAAGCTATACTAAGATAATCTAATCTAGGGTACCCATACCTAACCTAACCTAACCTATAATGCCCATTAATCCGCACAACAGGATCAGGGACAACTTTTTATTATTTTATTAGGTAATTTATTTTGTATTGTTTATAGACATTAATAATTACATAGTTGTAAAGGATGTGAGGGTGCTGTCTTAGTGCTGAGGTCACCGACTTAGTGCTGGGGTCACCGACTTAATGCTGGGGTCACCGACTTAGTGCCGGGGTCACCGACTTAGTGCTGAGGTCACCGACTTAGTGCTGGGGTCACCGACTTAATGCTGGGGTCACCGACTTAGTGCTGAGGTCACCAATTTAAGCACTGAGATTATGCCTTCAGCACTGGGGGTCACCGAATTAGCAAAGCCCCTGGAGGTCGTAGCCTATTGACGTAAGCCTTAGTAGACCTTAAGACCGAGGTTCTTGAAGGCGTTCTTGAGGTTGTCGATCTTCTGGTCACTCAGCGCCTTGACAGGGAAGCGGACGGGGCCCATCTCCACACCGGTAAGGAGACTGGTGGCCGTCTTCAGGCTTGCCACAGTGTATTCTTTGCCAGCTGGTGGTGAGAGACGGAACACTTGTTAGTACTAAACCAGGTAATGCGTGCAGGTGTAAGGTAGGTGGTGATGTATGGATGTATGTACTGTATGTGGCTAGAGTACATATATTAGCATAATTTAAACTCCTTGAACACGATGATTTAAACATAAATAGAATCACTTAACCCCTTGAGTACAATGTCTTAACCCCTTGAGTACAATGTCTTAACCCCTTGAGTACAATGTCTTAACCCCTTGAGTACAATGTCTTAACCCCTTGAGTACAATGTCTTAACCCCTTGAGTACAATGTCTTAACCCCTTGAGTACAATGTCTTAACCCCTTGAGTACAATGTCTTAACCCCTTGAGTACAATGTCTTAACCCCTTGGCTGCGATGACTCAACTGTTTGATTAAAATTACCTATTCTTTTGATTACTGTTGACACTTTACTCAGGTGGATAAGTAATTACCTGTCGGTGTTTAATCATACTAATGTGTTAACTAAAGAAAGGAAGATTCTAGAAGATTATGTGAGAGATTAACTTAACCCTAAAGCTACCTGGGGGGGAGGTGTTAGGTTAGGTTAACGTTCGGTTATATTAATTTAAATTATCCTTAGGGTGGTTAATCTTCAGGTGATCAAATAATATAAAAAAAATCGTCACCAGGTGGACCTCGTGACCTCCAAGATGAGGCAGTAGCCAATAACAACTTCCTGTACCTCTCCTCACTAACCTCCATCAATACCTGAACACGATTACAGATTCAACTTTTATCGATTCTCAATATTCGATTATGGAATCTTACCACCATGGGGATATTGAAAGTTTTTGACGGTTTAATTTGAACGTACGAAGAAATTGCGATTCGAGGCGAAGTATGAGGGGAAGAAGATGGTCCAAATTTACGTTGGTTTTGGGAATAATGTTCAATGAAGGTAAGGGAGGGAGGGAGGGGAGATAATGTGGTCTGGTCTGGTCTTCCCCCTCCCCCTCCCTCCTTTTCCCCCTTCCTCTCCACCTTCCCCCTCCCATGGAAGAGATGAGATATATTATATATTTTGGCAACTCGTCTGAAGAGATTTTGAAGTCTCTCTCTCTCTTATAATCCTGACGTTCAGTATAATAAATCTTCGTCATGGACATCCCAGGCAGAGTAATGCAGAATGGAAAAATATTACAATAAGGGGACCATGTGATATGGATGGTCTGACACACACACACACACACACACACACACACACACACACACACACACACACACGCATACACACACACACACACACACACACACACACACACACTTTTTATTAGAAGTAGAAAGTTAACAGATGATAAGTCATTTTATTATACTCAGCCTAATGCAAGTTGAAGTAGAGATCTGGGACGTATTTTGTGCAAATGTTTGTTTATCCGTTTGTCTGTATGTCTACCTGTCCGCTTGTCTGTCTTTCCGTCTATCTGTCCGTCTGTCTCTCTGTTTGTCTATCCGTCTGTCTGTATGTCTACCTGTCCGCTTGTCTGTCTTTCCGTCTATCTGTCTGTCTGGGGGTGAGAGAGAGTAGGACGGCAACACTCAGGTAAAACTATTGGTCGGGGCGAGAAATTTCCTGGGAAGGAAGACACAATTAACTGAGGGGAAAACAAGAGAGAAGGAGAGAAGAAGGGGAGGAAGAGAAAACGGAGAAGGAAGAAAATGAAGATAGGAGGAGTGGATGAAGAGGAGGAGGAGGAAGAAAAAGCAGGAAGAGGAGGAGGAGAAGAAGCAGAAGGAATAGAAAGAGAAAAGGAGAAAGTAGAGGAGGAAAAAAAGAGGGAGGAAGAAACGGTCAGCAGTAAGGACGTGGCAGGGGAAAAAACTCCGAACCAGCGGGAGGGAGGGGGGTGGAGGGGGAATTAAACACGGTGTAGAAGAAACATTTGGGGAAAACAGACAAGTGAAGGAAAAAAAAGTTGTCAGGGAGATACTAAGAGGGTGAGGAGGGATGAGGGGGAGGGGGAAAACCTTGAGTGAGGAGGAGGTGAATACTCGAGAGGGGAGGGGGAAGGGGGAGGTGAGCCTTGAGAATGAAGAGCATGTATGAGGTGGTGAGACTTAATGAATGCATATTTTTTTCTATTTCTTTCTTCACTTCATTCATGGTGTTGAGTCAGAGCTTATATTTCTGATAGATAGATAGATAGATAACCTACATACATACATTCATACACACATATTAATAGATATAGGTATCGTCTTAAAGTGGTCGTGAAACAGTTATATATATACATACGACCCATTACCACTCTGACTATCTCCTTACGACCCCCTCCCTGAACGACCCTCCGCCCTGAACGACCCCCTTGACAGATTTACCCCTATTGGTATTTTCCTCAAGTCATAAAGGGCATTGAGTAGAGGCCTGGTGTCATATTTTCCTGGTATTGTCCTTGACCGACATGGTGGGTGACAATTATGACGTAAGGGGAGAGAGAGAGAGAATGATAAATAGACAGACAGACAGATACAGAGAGAGAACAGCCAAAAAAACAGACAAACAGACAGATAAAGAAAAGAGAGAGAGAGAGAGAGAGAGAGAGAGATCAGCTGCGGGTCACACTAATTTTGGGGACATAAAGTTCTATATGGGTACTAACTCCCTCCCCTTCCTCCTTCCCTTCCCTCCTTCCTCCTTCCTTTTCCTTTCTCCTAATGGGTTGCTGCGTTGTCAGGCCACAAAGATTAGTTAGGTGAGGGGCTAGGTTCTTCCCTACCTCTTCGATGCTACAACCCTCCAATAACATGATTCTCACCTTTCCTCTCCTCTTTCCACATCTCTCTCCTTTCCATCTCACTCACCTCTCTTCTCTCACTCCCAAACACATTTTTTCTCCTCCTGTTATTTGAGGCGTCACAAACACCCTTCTTCTGCAACACACACGGCATATAAGTGTGTGGGAGGTGTGTGTGTGTGTGTGTGTGTGTGTGTGTGTGTGTGTGATGACCCAAAAAAAACATCATTGCTAAACAGTTATAATTTTTTATGCTGGGTAACATTTTTGTTCTCGAAAATTTAAGAATTCTTTTTTTTTCTCTCTTTCATTTTTTGTTTTATTTTCCTATCTTTATTATCTCATAATTTTTTCTTTCTTTTAATCTTATCTTAATCTCAAAGACTCTATTAAAATGGCTGAAGAAAATAACCCAAATTTGGAATAGAAATCCCCCAAAAAAGGAGAGAGAGAGAGAGAGAGAGAGAGAGAGAGAGAGAGAGAGAGTATAGTGACCACCAACACCATCGTCATTTTCTTTTGACCAAACCATTAGCTCTATAAGAGATCACGCCCCATCCTATCATTGGTTCACTTTTATCGACGTCCAGACCGAATGCAGAAGTACGGCTCTCTGACTCTCTGCGGCTGACAGTTCACCCATCTGCTTCAAGGCAGTAGGTAGTAGGGCGAGCAAGGAGAAGAGTATCGTCAGGGTGGTTGAAGGTAGAAAGGAGTAAGGGTGAAGAATAAGGAACAAAAGATTACTTGAGAATTAAATGCTCTTTCCTTTCTCTTTATTCCCTCCTTCCTCCTTCATAGAAAAATGGGAACAAGAGAAAGAAAGACCCTCCCTCCCTCCCCCTTCCCTCTCTTACTCCTCCCTCCTTCCCTCCCTTCCTTCTAACCCCCCACCCCCCTTAAAAAGTGGGGGAAGGCAAGGCACTGAAGAAGTAGAATATGAAGGAAGAAAACGCAAGAACAAGTGATAATTAGCTTTTAATAAGCATTGTAAAGCACGTACGTATTAAGGGAAGGAGTTGAACCTAATCATCCCAGAAAGGTCAAACGAGGTCACTGTCCCCTCGGAAATATGACCTAAATAGGGGTAATTCTCACCTGAGTTTCAACAAAGGTGAAGTTAAGACCAGGTAACTTGTTTTACTGACATGACTTATTACCTTTTGCCTGTGTGACCTGTTACCTGTTATAATCAAAACCTCAGTGACCTTAAATTATTGGTATTATCTCACAGGTAAGTTTCAATTACCTGTCACCTCTTTGAGAAAAACTCCAATAAGTCATTAATGGCTCGAGATACAGTGCCAAGCAAGATCTTATTGACTCAAAACTACCCTATTAAGATCTATCAAGAAGGAAATAACAACATATGATTTAATAAATAGTAACATGACTTATAATAGAACTGTAGACAATGGTTCAGATGATTCTCCCCTCCCCTATCCCCTCCTCCCCGTCCTCCCAGACTCTCACTACGGTCTCTTCCTGCTTCCACACTACTGAGAGTTGGAGAGAAGTAGGAAGAGGTATAGGCAGCCGAACCTCCTCTTACACGCATGGTAAGGCTGCACTCTGATGGAAAACAAGACGATACGCTTGCTAGTTACCTACTGCCGGGAGAGAGAGTGAGGGTGTGACGGAGAGAAGCTTAGAGAAGGAGAGAGAAACGGAGAGATAGAGAGATAATGATGGAGGGTGTGTGAGGGAGAAATAGAGAAAAATAGTGGATCTGAGTGTGAGATGAAAGAGAGATGTAAAGAGGGAATGGAGAGGAAAACAAGAGAAAGGGGAGACAGAGAACAGTAAACCCCTCCTGAGTTGGTTCCAAGCGATAAAACATTTGTACACACACACACATACACACACACACACACACACACACACACACACACATACATTCACTCACACACACACACACACTGAACATGTTTCAATATAAACCCAGAATCCCTTTTTGCCCATTTAATGTTCAAGGTACAAGAAATTACAGTTAGTGTCACTCACTTTCCTTGAAGATGACATCAAAGTGGCTGGAGAGGACCTCTTGCATCCTTTTGGCTTCTGAGACGTTCCCAGCTTCCATTAGGGAGAAGATCTGACTCCCGAACTGAGGTAAGAAGCTGAAGCCTCCGTTGACAGCGCAGGAAAAGCCCACGCTGAGAGCCTCTTGAAGAGTCTGTCAACGAAAGAGAAAGTGTATGTGTGACAAAGCTCTGTGGCGAGTGCTTGTGTGTGTGTGTGTGTGTGTGTGTCAGTCAGTCGGGAATCTTAACAGGTTACAGAGATGATAAGACCCACATAAAACCTAACTTAACCCAATAAAAACATCCCATAAATAAACACAAAGATAAAACTTAAGTGAAATAATTGATAAATAGGAAGAAAATAATAAGAACGAACCATAAAGCACCACACACACACACACACACACACACACACACACACACCCACACACACACACACACACACACACACACTCCACCTCCCTCGTAACGGGAAGATATTTACTCAGGTCAAAACACATTTATCAAAAACCATTATAAACACTCCATTACCAGCCTCTGTCTCTTGGTTCCTGGCAGTCGATATTTTCCTCTCTAACTGGATGTGTACGGCGAGCTACTAACTGGTTACGACAGATAAATTTCTTCTCTATTTTTCCTCAATGTGTCGTAGCTTAAGTGAAAAATTATAATTGGATCAGTCTTAGTGCGTCTAACTTGTTCACTTTAAAGTTATGACACGAGGATAATTTCTCAAAAGATCCTAAGACATTTTGTTCACCTAAGTGGAATTGTAAGAATGACACATAGTTGATTTCCTTAAGCTATATGACTTGAAGATGTTGACCAAAATGGCGTTAAATTTATATTGTGACTTTCCCTTTGATGTATGATTCCTTTACTAAGTTTAAGAGAGAAATGAACTTATGAATCTTGGAGACTTCAAAGTGTAACCTCTGTAGGGTGAAGGTTATAACGATTACATGTCTGGTGGTGATGGAGGAGGAGGAGTGTCGGGCCCAAGCGTCGTAGATAAACAAAAGACAAGAGAATGGAAACAAAAAGTTGGAAGTAGCTGTGTGGCTTTTATTGGCGTCTTTTGTTTCACTCCTCTATTCAGCTGCCACAGATGTTCACAATGTTTTCTTTCCGGTCCGTTCCGAAATTCTGGCATTATTTTTTTTTATACAACTGTTACGTAATTCTGAAATGTTTTGTCGAACTGTCAAAATAAATCTGGAACTTAAATTTTTTTTCGAATTAATACGTAAATTTCGAACAGTTTACGAATTGGTACGTAAATCTGGAAGTTTTTTCTCTCTTAACTCTGATGATGAAGGACATGGCTGCGTCTTGGGGAAGTTTGTAATAATATCATGTTATAAGGAAGCAAGTGAGAGTGTTTTTGTCGTCAGCAGCTGCCAAGACTAACCTAGTCGCTTGATGAAAGAACTTGGACAAGAGTTTCCGTCGCTTAGAGAAAGAGAGAGAGAGAGAGCGTCGACCTTAAACAGAGAAAGTGAAAGCGAGAGAAAGAAAGAAAGATAGCAAAAAGAATAATGCCAGAGAGAGAGAGAGAGAGACTGACCCACCTTCTTCCTCCATCTCGTGTTCTCCATCTTACATCACCTTATCACTCTCTTTCCTTCACGTCCCTTCCACATTTTCTCCATCCATCATATCCTTTTCTCTCTCCCTCCTTTACCTCCTTCCTTCCTTCCTTCTCCTCTTTTCCACTCTAAAAAATTTCTCTCCCTGTTTTTCATCGAAATCTCTCTCTCTCTCTCTCTCTCTCTCTCTCTCTCTCTCTCTCTCTCTCAGGCCACGACCATAGGGAGGTGACCACAAGTCTTGGAACACTTGAGACAGCTTCCTCCCTCTTCGGTAGCTCCGCCATCCTCACCAAAATTCTTCATCGAAAATCCATATGCTGGTCAGCCTTGGAAATACAGAAGAGAGAGAGGAGAGGAAGAAAGGAAAGAGGGGAAGAGAGGAAGAGAGGAAGAGGGGTAGAGGACATTCTCTGCTCCACCTCCCTCCCTCCCTCACATACGTATGGGTCGCAGGTGACAATTGAAATTGTTTCCTCAACACTTTGCGTCTGATTTCCCTTGATACGGGAGGTGAGGGTGGGGTAAGGGGTGGTTTTAAGGGGGGAGGGGGGACGAAGGTGAAAGTGGGGGATGGAGTGGGGTCAGGATAAGGGGTGGTAATAGGGGGATAAGGGATGGGGTGAGATAGGGGTGGATGTTAGGGATAGATATGAAGGACAAATCATACTGGTATTAATATTATTGAGGGATTCCTTCTATGCAAGACAAATTTTTAGTTAATTTAGATTCGGTTAGGTGAGCTTAGCGAAGGTTAATTAGGTTACGTTACGTTAGGATAATTTAGGCTAGGTTAATGTGATTAGGTTAGGTTATGTTACATTATGTTAGGTTACGTTAGGTTATTGGTTAGCTCATGCTAGTTTAAGTTACAATGATATTAGATTAAGTTTGATTATGTTAGTTTAAGTTACGTTAAGGTTAGCTGAAGTTAGGTTAGGTAAGTTTAAAGTACGACAAGGTTAGATTAAGTTAATTTAAGCCAGGTTAAGTTAAAGTTAATTAAATTTTGTTACCTTGGGTTAGGTATGTTTATTTATTGGATCAGGGTCTCTAATTAAATCCGGGTTATAAAATAATGTTCTTCTCTCTCTCTCTCTCTCTCTCTCTCTCTCTCTGATACAAGGGACAGATACAACAGAGTAACATTCACAGAGAGGAAGATATTTTGACCTTCGCCTGTGACCCTGACCTATACCTTCCTGAACTAAGTCCTCCAAATGTTAGGACGACTCATTTGCATTTCTCCTTTTTGGTTGAGTGAGTTAATGGGACGTACACGTGACAGGCAGGTGGAAGTACGAATCAAGTGATGACTGAATACTTCGATTTCAGTGAAGCATATCAATTGACGAGGGAGAACGAGAGAGAGAGAGAGAGAAAGAGAGAGAGAGAGAGAGAGAGAGAGAGAGTATATATCGTCTGCATGGATGTCACGCAAGAGCAAAGACGAACGCAATCTGTTGAGTTAACCTGTCCTCCCCTTGTACAGTGAGACGAGAAACTGACGCGAGGGAAAGTGTTTTCTTTATCGAGAGGACGGAAGAGCCAATGTCCCCTGAAGGTGTTCTCGGCACCTATTAGGAGGAATGATCTTGCAAGAGGCAGTCGAGTTTACCTGCTTCAGAATCAGTCTGTTTCTCCGAGGTGGAAGTTTTTTTGATTTCAGGATGAGGAAGGGATGTCTCTCCTCCTCCTTCTCATCCTCATCCTCATCCTCGTCCCCCTCACAGTGACCTATCGGAAGTGTGGGTGGTGGAGAGAGGAGGTGAGGATAATGAGGAAGTATGGATAATGAGGGAAATGAGGTGTGTATACAGAGGATATGACTTTTACACAAACACACACACACACACACACACACACACACACACACACACATACACACACACATGTAGGTTCGTTTGACCTTTGAAAGTCTTACTAATTTCTGATTCCGAACAGTCATAACTGGTAAATGTTCTATCTTCCTGGTCACATATATAACCAAATTCCAGTTTCATACACACTCTCCTCCTATGTACAGAGTCTGCCGAGGGGAAGGACCTTGCCTGCTGTAAGGGCTAGGTATGTGTACTGAGTCTCCACCGATGACAGACTAACTCTACTCACTCTTACAGATCACAACTAGGGTTAGCGACGCCCTGAGATACCTTGGGTTACGTGACGCCTTACGGTCATTGTCTTGTGATCGATACATGTGGACTCTATTATATCAGGCTTGAGAATCTGCGTCGTGCAAGACCTAAGAAACTACGTCGTACAGCTCTTTGTCTCACACAGTTATAACCGCGTCACATGGCCCCATATCTCATGATCTGGTGGTGTCATCAGTGTTGTCATGTCAGTCGACCTCCTATGCAGTATTGAATCTATTATTAGTTTGATAATGTTCTAAATAGTTGAATTAAATACAATCTTGTGATGGAGTCTTACGTCTTATACACACACACACACACACACACACACACACACACACACACACACACACACACACACACACACTGGAGGGGGGTCAGCTGGGAATGGGTGAGTAAGGGAAAAATATGATCCCATCAGCTGGAGTCAGTGTAAACAAATCTCCCTACCCTCTCAGTCCGTCTCCCTCCCTCCCGTAGACCATAACTCTTCTCCAAAAATTACAAGGCTTCTTCCCTTCCCCCGACTCCATTTTTACCATTTTTTTTATTTTTACTGGGTGATTATTTTTTAGAAGATAATGATAATAAGAGAAAGAACCACCTGGAGATTAACCAACCTAACCAAACCTAACCTAATCTAACCTAATACTAACCTTGCCTAACCTAATGTTTAACCAACCTAACCAAACCTAACCTAATCTAACCTACAGTAATACTAACCTTATCTAACCTAATGCTAAACTAACCTAACCGAACCTAACTTGAAGATTAGACACCCCAGCTTAATTCACATGAAGATTAATCACCCTAGCACTAATCTACCGTAACATAATGCTAACCAAACCTAACCTAAAGATAACCTAACGTTCACCTAATCTAACTTAACCCTTGGTAGTGTGAGGTTAGGTTAGGTTAAGTTAAGTTAGGGTGGTTCAACTTCAGGTGAAATAAGCTACGGCGTTTAGTCTTCAAATAGCTAAGGTAAATTATGTATAATTATGAAGGAAAAATGTTGAAATATTAAAGAAAATGTTGAGGTACATTGAACAATTGTGTTTCCCTTTATTTCCTGCTTGTGACTCTGAGCCTTCGTGAAACACCTCCATGCACGCGACTGTTCCAAGCACGCCAACCACGCCTTCATCCACGCCTTCATGCACGCCTTCATCCACGCCTTCGTCATATTACTAGTATATTCTATCCATCCATCCATCGTGTGTGTGTGTGTGTGTGTGTGTGTGTGTGCGTTAGTTACAGTGGAAAAATGGTTGAAAGATTATTATTTCATTGTTGTTGTTGATTGTCTTGTTCTTCTTCTCATCATCATCATCATCATCATCATCATCATCATCATCATCATCATTAATCCCATACCTTTATTTTATTCCTAAATTTCATACATAACCTGACGAAGAATTATCC